AGAATAACATGCTAAAAAGAGAGGAAGGGGAAAAAAAAAAAAACAGAAAAAAGAGGCAGCCTTAAGGCCTGACCAGTAATACAGCCATCTCAGAGAAGTAAGACTAGATAAATTAGCATTTAAATAACAGCTTTTTATTTGTTCTTCTTTTCATTAGATTAAGTTAGTTTCTTGCAGAATCAGTTAGGCTCAGACTAATTTGAAGAAGAGAGAGCTTGCTATGTCCTGGGCTAATTTTGCGGGAAGCTTTTAGTATTCATTCCATATTGAATACACTTAATAGAAACTGGAATGAAAACCTATTAGAATACAAATTGAGAGAACAAATTAAACATTTTGCAGCAAATAGCATTTGCTAGCTACATAAATAATGACCACCTGATGGTACTGGCCAGCAAGGAGTGCTGCAAAGATACCACGGGTATAGAAATGCACAAACATATATGAGAATATTTCACCAATAATAAAAACTGCTACACTTCAAAAGGAAACTTCCCCAGCAGCAGGTTTGAGAAAAATAATAGGATTTCTACCTTGTTTTCCTACACATGAAATATAAAGGAGATAAAAATCTTCCTACTTTTAGAGTTCATTTATTTCTGCCCTTGGCCTAAACACCTTTTCAAAAGGGTATTTAAAAGGACATTTAAACATAATCCTTTTAAAAACATGAACTGCGTTATTAGGGTGTGATCCAGACTCAAACAGAGTTAAAGGTAAAGCAATTGCTGACCTCAGTAATGCAAGATCAAATCCTTAATAATCCAAATAAAAGAAAGAGAAATGCAACATGCGGAGCTAGAGTACGGATGACAAAACTTACTTCGTATCAAGGGGTACGTAATTGGCAGGGTGACTCATTATTCCCCATTAAGCTAATGTGAAGAAATGAAGCAGTCAGCAATCTCCTGTGAACCAATAACAAGATACTTCTCAACCAAACTATCTGGGGCTGAAGTATTTAAAGGAGTTCAACTACTGGTACTGTAAAGGGTATGCTGAAGCCCCTAACCTGTTACACTAAAATTATTCGAACGTCTACGCAATGATCTTGTTGAGCTTAAAATAAGATCTTTAACATTACCTATCAGGCAATGAGCTGTGGTCAGACCAGTTTAGTTGTAAAACAAGCCAGCTTTTATGAAGGAAATGTGGGAAAAAAAATCCTTTTAGGAGAAATTCAGGAATTTAATTTTTGCTAAATATATTCAGTTCTATTATCAAAATATTTGTGTTACATAAGTTTCGCCACTTTTTGGAACCAAAAAAGGGGGAGGGGAGACAAAAAGGGTGCAAAGGTAATTCATTTTGCCTGCACGCGTTTATTCACATACACACATACATGCAAACAACACAGTTTCCCTATTAATTCTTGGTTTGTAGGCCTGCGGCTTTGCGAATGTTTCCTGCATCAAGGAAATAAACTGCAACAGTCTTTACTGCGTGTGGCTCTGGTGTAAATAGCCAGCCATTATGAAATTCATTCCAGTCTCGTTCATGAGGGAAGTCTGGGAGCCCAGCATTTTGGAACCATAAAGAGATGATTCATAACGAGACTTGACTCAGTGGGAAGGCTGAAGGATGGCAGTTCTCTCTCCAAGTTATCGTAATAGAAAATCATTTGATGAGTGTGGGATTTCTTCGAGAACTCAAAAGAGACAGGATTTGGAAGAGGATATATTATATTATGCAGACACCCACATCACTGAGTGTTTCTGCTAAAGTAAAACCATCAAAATAAGAAAATCCTCAAAGTTGTTCCTATTTTGAGCTTTTGGTTTGTTTTCAATAAGCATTCTCAAATATAAAACACAGATTTGTAGAGATTAGCAGATCAACATAGTTCCATATAACAAAATGAGGTTTAGTCAGCTAGGTTGCATGAGGTCAGGCACTCCAAAATGCAAACAAGACAAACTTGTGCCCTGAAGCAAGGCTGGCAAAGCAGCAACAAAAGAGCAGAGAGGTAACTTCCCTCAATAAATAAAACAGAAGTTCTGTGCTACAGAACTTCCAACATGCTCTTCCTCAGGGGCACACTAAGGGTGCCGTTGACTCAAATTAAATTTCACACCTCGAGTCCTCCCCTCACCCCAAATCCAGAGCAAAGCAACATCCAGGCCTCAATATTGCTAGGGAAAAAAAAAAAAAAAAAGTTCTGTACCACTTATGACATAGCCTTCATGCATGAGATGGGCACATAATCACATGTTAGAAACTAATAACCCAGCTTCTAGATTACATTATTTAATTTGTTAATGAAGAGTGGGATTGTGAAGGTGGGGAGAAGACAATGGAGCAGACTATGTCAAATTTCTTAAAATCAAAAAACCAGGCAGAATTGGACTAACTCCCAAGTCACATTTATTTTTTCACTAGTAAACTCAGTCTGTTGTTTTACAATATGAGCACTTAGATAGCACTGTTGCTTTACGAACTTTTCATTTGTTTTCTTATTGGTTCCAGGGTGATCAGTTCCTCAAATACACTGACATTGTGTTAGCCCAACTAAAGGAACAGCATACAGTGAGATCTGGCTGGACCGTGACTGCTACTAAAGACATCTATCAAATCTAGGCTTTCCAGAACATCAACTTGGGCAGCTGCACTCTTGCCATCCACTGTAGTACTACCCACGCACATCTCTGCTTCTCCTGCATATTGAGCCTTGTACTGGTAACACTTAAAAATTTAATAGTTGCAACTGAACTTATGTAAGTAGTAGCATTTCAACATTCATTTTTCTAAATCTTTGAAAACAAATGAAGCTCCACTAAGCATAAAAGATGCATAGGTTATATTAACACAAGAAGCCCTAGAGCTGTTACACCGGAGGAAGGATTACCTGGCCGCAAAAGTCCTTCCTGCCCTTGCAGTCTAGGAATGTCCTAGGATCTATTTTGCACAAGCTGCTTGTTTTCAAGTTCAGTACTGAAGTTCTGCAAACTGTCAAGCTACTAAGGGTACAAAAATGCTGAAAATTCTGTGATATATTTCCTTGTCCCTTAAAGGTATGTACATCTTCAGCTCCCTGAGGACTTTCAGACACTTAGGATGAACTTGTCCACTGCTAGTCTTTTGTCTACACTTCAAACCATCCGCTCTGCCCACAAATCCACCATCACCTCCCTCATCAACAGTGCCTTAAAACCCCCTCTGAAATCTCTTCCATCTCTCTATCACGGGTGGAGTGCTTCCCTCCCAAAAGTGGATATTCTTCCAAAGTCTTGCTAAAAATACTATGATGAAACGCCCTGATACCAGATCGAGATGATTCTTCTACCACCGGTTCTGCCTTGGACATGCTGAATTATATTAAGCATATCACTTAACCCCCTTCCACTTCCTTTTGCTCTAATTTTTCCTTGCTGCCTCTAAATTTAGATGTTAAGCTTGCGAAAGTCACGAGAATTCATAAAGATGTTTCTACAGAGCATAAAAAGGCTCTGCTCCCTCATAAGTGTCAGTTATACACAAATAATTAAGCAACACTATCACATACAATAGTGACCTCTTTTACTTTGAGATCTGGAAATGTTCTTCGAAAGTGCTTCTGCCACACACATATCTAGCCTAAGTAGGAGCTTTCAATCTTTTAGTCTCACCTTTGTTTACTTCAGCCACTTAACCACACTGAAAGGCAATGGTGCCTTTGGAAATGGTGAAGTGTGCCTTTATGCCTAATGTCTTGTAAAATCTAACATGATCCAACATTGGGTCCCAGGAAGGCCAGATACAATATTATCTGCTATTTACTATTCCAGAATTGTATGATTTAAATATCCAGGTACACAGCTATAAAATAAGTCCAGTTAAACTGATTTGAAAGAACTAATCAGTTTTGAAGTATCATCAGTCACCTTGCTTGCCAGTATTTCACTAAGAAAAAAAGATTCAAAAGATTTACTGTTCCTACATATTAAGTGAGACAAGGGAGAGACAGCATCTTTTATGAGAGCAAGCAGCATAGCTAGAAAAGCACACACACTGTAATCGGAAAAAATGGGCCAAAAATGGACAGCTGGTCTAATAAAAGATATTACCTCTTCCCATAAACTTTGCTATATTTTTACACCACCACGGTGACAATGATACTATTGCTGCGTGCCATTAAGGAAGAAAATAGCCTAGAGAAGTCAAGGCATTTTTAGCTACAAAAAGACCTCTTATTTTCATGTAGCTTTCAGCTAAAAAGCGTGCAAAGTAGAAATGAGGCTTTTAGCACAATAGGACTGAAAGAATTTGCTCTCTTCTTAATACACAGCGCTGTTATCAGATTCTTGCTTCACATAGGAATGGCGAAAATGATCCTGGAATTCTTCTTCCTTAAAAGAAGATAATGATAAAATGGAGAATTTTCAAAGAATTGTTTTTCCCTTTGTGGGGGAAGATGTGGGGTAAAAAGTCATAAATACTATAGGAACGGAAGGAAATCTCACAAGAAACTAATAATTTCACAGAGACAAACTAGGATCATGAACCAAGTGGTGAGGGTGAAAGAAGCCAAGACACAGGAGAACAGTCATGGCTTGAAATAAGAAGAAACTCAAGTTCTTATCCTTTATTTTCCCAAAGAGAAAGGAAAGAATCAAGGGGGAGGGGGAGGAGCAGCACAAGTAATAGTAGAACTATTCAAAATTAATGACAGAGCAAAGAAAAAGAGACTGACATACGTTTGAACATGAGGGAAGGGAAGGGAAACAGAAAAGAGGGAAAAGAAAGAGAAAAGAGAGAAAAAGAAAGAGAAAAGAGAGAAAGACGACTTCCATAGTTTAGAAACCTTTGAGAGCCCTCTTTTCTTCTTCTCTGACTTTAAACTTCTGAATATCTATTTATCAGAGTAGTTGCCAGCAATTCTAATTTGGCTAGCTCCCAGTCTTTTAAAGAGACTCAATAAACTCTGCCTATCCTGGATGGGCACAACCCAAATAATTGCAGCACTTAACATGATGAGATTCTCCTACTACCATCATCTCCATAGCTAGCTCCCCTCCACCCACCTTTGAAGCTATAAACCTCCGCAGGCACTAAAAAGTGGTTCCAGAGGACAGTATGGGAGATCTAGAGGGAAAAGAGAAAAGAAAAACAGACTTAAAAAGAATTGCTATAACTTCCACTGAAGAGCCAAGATGCCCAGCCAACAGTATAAACATCCTCTGTGGGTGGGACAGACATGGCATAAACATCCTTTTTCATTTCAAAGTTTTTTATTCTTCCCTTTTTTTCCAACTTCCTAATGAGGACATGGCTAATTTCCACGTAATAGATTCCAAACTTCCTTTTTTTGCCTACAAGAATCAACACGGCAAGCTACCTGCCGTTTTTTAGCATTACGCTCCCTGAGATATCACAGAAAGGGTTTGACCACACACAATTGATTTTCATGAGAGCAACTAGACTGTAAAAAGTCAGACGTTATTAATCATGTATGCACTTCTCAACTTTGCCAATCAATGCAGCACGTACATTTCCTGGCCTTGCTTAGAAAAAAAATGAGGATAACCTTTAAAGACTAGAACTATTCACTCATTATGGATTTACCTAGCTAACAATATTTATTTCAGTGATGAAAAATATGACTTGTAAAGGCTAACATTTTTAATTTACATACAGCCAAGTTTCATTAAAATTCCTCTTAACTGCACAAGAACATAAAAAATCATTAACCAAAATATATTCAGGGATGGCAACTGCTAAATTTTTCAGGAGTCACTGGCAGAGACTTTGCGATTTTTCCAGTTATTCAAAATCACAGCGTCACAATTCACATATCTAACAAGGAACTGAAATGTGAGGGAGAAATGGAATTCTCTGTAGTGGCATTTGTACTTCTCTGAAGCAAACTGCTTAAATACTGCTAAGTTATTATTCTGGTAATCACAGATCTCTGATTACTGGGTTATATGATTTCTGAGTATTTCAGATACTAAAGCAGAGACCCAGAAAAGGATGAAAACATTCATTACAATGCTGAAAATTCCAGTACCTCCATTTTTTAATCATCTACTGACTTGGAAGCAGCTACATCTTTAGAGTCATCTTTAGAAAGCATTGCATTTTCCTTCCCTTTGCTCCATGACCTTCCAGAATCACTGAAAATGTCTTCCTTTTCATGAGAAAACAAGCATTTCCCTATTTCCATCTCTCTTTCCTATGACAGATACCAAACTACACAGACAGTCTCTTCTTAAGGCCGTAATTTTCTCTTTTCAAAGTTGCTCCATTCTGCATGCAATAATCAGGTTTCCAACGGGTAACAAAAGAACATGAGTAAGCATGACCTGAGTTCTTTGTTTTGGAGGAGATCTGAATTCCGGTATCTTATTGAAAAAGTATTTAATTTAGCATTCATCTGACCCCTCACTACTACGTCACTGGATATGGCAGCTGTAATGTGTTGAGGTGCAAATAGGAGGAAGCATACTGCAATCCCTGCTGCACTGAAGTAAAGGTGGGTGCGATCCATAAGCCCAGGTGAGCTTTCAAAGAGCTCTGCACATAAACTTGTCAAGCTATGCTTAAACGCAGCTCCTTAAGGATTTAATTATGGCATCTAGGGACCCTATTCAACTAGAGGCAGCAGCTGAACAGGACTCGAAGACCTGCCTATCGGAGTTGGGTAAACATGACAATTTAGGATCAACTGTGCCTCTTCTTAGGCCCTATCCCCAAGTGCTTGTGTGAGAGGTTTACATACTTTCCACATACTACAAGTATAAATAAAGGAGTTCTTAAACCAATAGTTAAATTACAAAAAACGCTTCCTACAGCCGCTAATCCCAGGCTGCAGCAGACCTCCCTCTGAAAGGAATGTGAACAGTTGGGGCTGATCTCGCTCTTGTCAAACTCACAGTCAGACTTCAAATCTTATCACAGAAATAACTAGAAGACTAGAAAACCCACTTCATTTTAATTTTGTTATTTGCCTTCTGAAAACCCAGATTAAAAAGGTTTACATTCTTAAGCATTGGCCAAAACCATAAGAACTATGTATATTGGTTTTGGGGTTTTTTTCCTGAAAGTTGAGATTCTACTGGGACAGATGTTACAAGTGTATAATTCGTTGCTCACAGTTTACAGTATGCGTATGTTTTGTTAAAAGGCTGTGGCTTGACAGAAGAGAGTTGGGCTGCCCGTCTGTCTTACCATTCAGCTCTGCGCTGGTTCAAGGGGGACGCTGTGAAGGAAAAGGAAGTTACCCTTTCTCTGAGAGAACAAACTCAAAAAGGGAGAAAACCTTCTGCAATGCAAGGGACAACAGGGAAAGACATATGAAGCGCTAAGCCGTGAAGATGAGAACCAGGGGGGTTCTTAAAAAAAGTAGGGAACCAGGTCCCAGAGACGATGGACAGACTTCTCCTAGAGACCCAGAGAAGACCATGAAGAGTACCTAAAACAAGAAGAGGCCTCGCCTTGCCTGCAGGCAATGAGGAAACTTGCTTTCAAATGTTATTATTTGAATTCACCTCACCCAGCAAACCTGAACTCTCTTTCTACAGCACTCTCTGCCTTATTTTAGTATTTTGTGTGCTAAAAAAATAAAAAAATACAGTTTTGAAGATTCAAAGTCATCTTGGTACAGGCAAGATATATCTCAAAGGTCTGGCTGGGACCAGAATCACAGGTTTAAAATGCTGAGAAAACTGACACGCTGATTTGAACTGGAGACAGTATCTTCCCGAAAGCACCATCAACAACTAATTCTTCGTGTACTGAGGCTTGCCATTGCTCTAAAAACGTCATTGACCTCAACAGAAAGGAACAAAGCTAATAAAAGGGCAACTCTTTTTGCATTAATTTCATTTTCCAATTAGAAAAGATCAACTAACATACAGCATTTTGCAATTACCAGCAAAAAAATCTAGCATTTCTCTAAGGTCAGAAGGAGGAAGGCCAATCTGGCAGGAAACTTGGCTCCACACTGGGTAAAGGAGAGCTGAAGAGAGAGCCTCGAGGGCTGGGGGGTGTTTGCCTAGGATCCAAGCTAGCGTAGGAACCCTCCTGGAGGGGTTCCTGCAGCCTCGAGCTGGAATTTGGGTGTGTAAGGTGTTAAGGATAAAGCCCATGACCTGCGACTTCCCCAGCAGCTTTAATTACTACTTTTAACCATTTCCTTCAAGGAGAAGGACCTGATAACCTCTTTTGCTGTGTATCTTCCACACTTAGTACAACTAGAAAGATCCTTAAACAAATGCCTAGTTGTTTACAAGTGATTTACATTTCAGAAGATTAGTTATAAAAAAGGTTGGCAGTAACAATGAGGAGGAGGTAGGTGGGGAGACAGCAGAAATGTGCACCAAGGTCCTTTCAGTCACTGTGGATGAGTACAGAATAACGCAGGATGCCTGTGGATTTTGCAGGAACCAAGTTTTTTCCTGGATGAGAACATATGATGAGGAAAAAGTGCTTCAGCTTTGCTTTTTGAATGCTACAATTTGTTCATTTTCACCCTGAAGCTATCTGTAAGCTGTATTTTATGCCAATTCACCTGTGTTTTGAGTACTTCCTAACATTATTCAAAGCCAGACAGCAATTTACCCCTAGGTGGGGTTATTTCTAACCATTTCTGATGATGCAGCTATTATTGCTGGAAATTAACTTCTTAGAGCGTAATTATTCTCTCTTATCCCACAACTGCAATTCATGCAGAATTCATATTTTTAAAATATCATTAACGCTAAGCATGCTGCCCTTCTATAGCTGTAGCCGGGAAAGCGTTCTTTTATAGATTAGCGAGAAAGAAAAGGGTATCCTTTGTATACTACAATAAGGACTTTACATTCTAAAAGAAAAATCCAAAAATTTAATATGGCCTGCAAAAATTCCAGTATTACTTATCCTGTATTGTCTTTCTCTGACAACATAATTAGTCAATATGGGAAAGCTTGTACAATCAGGAGCATTTTGGAAAAAAAAGGAAAAAAATCAAAAACTTTCACAGATGAAGTATTTATGTATGATTAGAAAAGCAGCAGCTAAGAGATACTTTATTCCTGAACTTTCAATTAACAAAGACTGAGTTCCAAACAAGTGACTTTATTACAGCAGCACAAGTGTGTTCCAGTGCCATCTAGCTAACACTCAAGGTAACTTGCATCACTGCACAGAAATTCTGTTTTCCTGCAAGTATCCTTTCTACAATAAAAAGCAAATGCAAAGGTGATACACTTTTTTCTTCTGATCCATCAATGTACTGGAGCATAAAACATTCAGATTGCTTTTGAAATACTTGAGCTTTCGTGTATTTATGTGAGGAATGTTAAGCACGTAACCCCAAAACACTTTATGCTGTGACTGAGCTTTTCATCTGGACGGATCCACATGACTGAGTACTTTAAATACTGTCCTTTCAAGTATAAACATATTAGGTGTCATTATACAAACATTCGGTTCCCTTCTTCTGTGCCATACATTAATGGAAGGGGGTTGAGACAAATAAGGAGCAAAGGAGGAAGACTGTTTCATCTTGTTTTTGTAAATGGAAAGAGTATCTATTTCTAAAGAAAAGGAATTTGTAAAAGCAAGTGAGAAACATATTTGAAGGGTGCAACACAATGCCTTAAATTCTCTGAAATTTCATTTTGCCTTCTCTAAAATGGGTTTCCAAATAATAAAAAGCATTTGAAATCATGAACAAGTCATTGTGACTGTGTTAACACTAACTAAAAATGTGCAAGTGCTTTCTGAACTGTAATCAAAATTCTCCAGATTAAAATAATTTGACAGTCTAACACCTGTCCTTGCATCCCAAAATAGATGGGAGGAAAAACGGTTTCTTTTGACTCAGCAGCTTACTTATGTCCTCTAAAAAGCATAACTGATACATAAAAGCCCTGTTTTAAGTCTTTCTGGCTTGCAAGTGTACCATTTAAATCTCATCAGAACTATCTGGATAGCCAGCATATACCTTCTAAGTCATACCACTTGAAAATCCCAGAACAAAATTTATTTAAGTATATAGTCAGAATCATGAACATTCTTCTCGATACAATTACTACATTTTGGTTTTTAGATTGTGA